ATTCTAGGGTGTAGGGGTTCGATAAGAAGGGATTTTTCGAAATTCAAGTTCCAAGAGGGCGAAACCACCCCTCAAATATTACAATATTTTTTATTTAAAAAACGGTCAAGTTTCCGAAAAAACGCTTAAACACGTATATTTTATTTTGTTTTTTACATATTTTAAGATTTTTTAAAAATGTATACAGGGTGTTTCGAAAAATCTGGTCATTAATTAATCACGATCCTGCTTAAAGCGCTTGACGTAAAAAGCTGATTTTTGGCAAACAGATTGACTTTTAGGGTGTAGAGGTTCGATAAGAAGGATTTTTCGAAACTCGAATTCCAAGGGGGGTGAAACTATCCCTCAAATATTAAAATATTTTTATTTAAAAACGGTGAGTTTTCGGAAAAACTCTTAAACACGTATATTTTATTTTCTTGTTTTACATATTTTAAGATTTTTTATAAATTTATACAGGGTGTTTCATAAAATATGACCAATGAGTAATCACGATTCTGCTTAAACTGCTTGACGTTTAAAGCTGATTTTTGGCAAACGGATTGACTGTGGGATGTAGAGGTTCGATAAGGAGGGGTTTCTCGAATCTCAAATTCCAAAAGGGTGAAAACGCCCCTCAAATATTACAATATTTGTTATTTAAAAAAACGGTTAGTCTTTCGGGAAAACGCTTGGACAAGCATAATTTATTTGTTTTTTTTACATATTTTGAAATTTTTTTAATCATACAGGGTGTTCTAAAAAATTGGGTAATTTCTTAACCACGATTCTGCTTAAACTGCTTGACGTAAAAAGGTTATATTTGGCAAACGGATTTTTCGAAAGTCAAATTCCAACGAGATGAAACTACCCCTCAAATATTACCAAGTTATATAATAATATTGCTATATTGTTTTTTCTCATGCTGACATAAATGTGAAAAAATTTTATCCAATTTGTATGTTAATGGAAATTCTTGTTTTGCTTTATCATCACCATTACAAATGATTAATTCGACGCGAACGAAGTCGCTGGTACACGCTAGTATCCTATAAAAACCTATAAATAATGAGTATTTAGGTATCCACCTAGGACCAATTTTCAATTTTTCTCATATTTATGACATGTTTTGTAGAAATTTTCTTGGGCAAGATATGTAATGGTTACTCTCAAAAATAACAGCTATACAAAAGTCAATTAACTTAAATTTAAAAGTGTATTTAAGAGTTTAAAATAATAGTAAAAGTAAGATAAAAATATTACATGTGTGGATGGCTCGATATAAATTATTATAGGTTTGGGGCATTCTCCGCTTGGTGCTGCCCACCATCGGAAAATATAGTAAACAACTGATATTATACAAATACACGGGTTTAAATAGCGAGTGTACGAAAAATTTATTATATAATTACCCTAAAAGTGTTATGAAGTATAATTTGTGAAAATTCTAAAAATAAAAATAAAAAAGTAAATATTTTGATATTTTCAGAAGGTCTAACTTGTATTATAATTTATTATTCCAGCAAAAAACTGTTTCGATGAGTTCAACTACGGTAGTATTTGGGGCTAATAATATAATTGATCATAATTGGGGCTATTTCTGTTATAACGAAATTTTTTAAAGGTACCTACATAATTATAATTTTAGAAGATATTCATAAAACATAATCATTAGTGGATTAAAAAAAATACTATTAATATTGCAAATTATATTTTATCCTTTCATAGTATATGCACAGAACAGATACAAATCTAAGATATATCTGTTCTGTGGTATATGTCTATATTTAATTTTTTTGATTATTTAACAAGCACTTTGTTTCGTCGAACTGCTTGAATCCGTTTTTACTTTTGATTAAATCGGTCTAAGAAACTATGAAGCTATAAAATGTTGTTTCGGGAGAGTTGAATATCCAGGAATTTTGAGTTATTGAACCCAACAACGCCCTAATTACGCTCTACTTTACGCGTTAACATTTTTTCGGCAATTTTATTAACATTTGAAATTGTCACAGCACAACACGACACGACGGACGCCTAGTTCTACGGCTCTGCGGTCGGAATTAGGGCATTAGGGTAAGTCCGGTACAGATGCCCTACCGGGTGAGATGGCCACAGCGTGTAAGTTTCTAATCATGTGACTTATCAGTTGCTTCCTCACAAAACACATACACAAGAAGAAGTGCGAGCGCCTTGCTAAATATTGGAAAGTAAAATTGACGTTTAAATTTGACACTGTTGACAAGTTTACTGCTACTAGCGCCCCCAATTTCGCTTGTAGGAACTACGGACTAAATTGTCACGCATGGCGGGAAGTTTAAAAAAATAGAAAATTTTATTTCTTCATTTATTTTTAATTATGACATACACAAAAAATACACCATTTTTTAAAAATATGTTTAATATCAATATCAAATATACAACAGAAATTAATTTCACCACAATAAATTAATAAAATTAAAAGAATAATGTTACAAGTAGATCAAGAGACAAAATTAATTATAACAAAACTGAAAAAAATGGCGTCATAGATGGCTTAGAAATAAAAGATATATCATAATTTTGAAAGTAAAATTATATGGGAAATGTCTTCGATCATCATTTTTAAGCCAACTGGACGATTATTTCAAACATACAAGCTGAGTTCGTTCATAGTGCTCTGAGAAATCTAGATAAACAAAGAATAATAAATTAAAAGTATTCCAGGGGAAAAGAGAGGAAAAACCTGTATCGTCTCTGATATCTGTCAGGGTATTGTTGAAAGTGTCATCTTTTTGCTCGAAGTTTTCAGGTCGATCAAAAAGATGACATTTACAACAATACTTTGCTGTAACTTTCACAAATATCAGAGAGAGTACATACAGGTATTGCCTCTCTTTTCCTCTGGGATGCTTTATATCTGTTGTTCTTTGTTTATCTATATTTCTCAGAGCATAATGCCGAACACGACTACAGTATATAATAATTTCAATATCCGAAGTGGAAAGAAAAAAGATCACCTTTCTGTTTTGTACTATGGTCCCTTTCTTCCGATGGCTCATCTCGTTGATATTTAGGAAGGATAAATAGGAAGGAAAATATAAAATTCAATTTGATTTGATGATCCTTTTCTGTCACCTAAAATCAGGAGAACGACAATGAGCATGTTAAGATGAAAAAAAAATTATCAACACTTACCTACACGTTAGTCCGAGGAGTTTTATTAAAAACCTATATATTTGCCTAAATAATTTATGTATTAAATTTGCAAAGCAAAATGCAGCGTGTAAACAAAAGAAATAAAATGGCGACAAGTCAACGTCAATGACCCGACAAGGAGAAAAGTGGTGTTCGAATAACAAATTATGGGTCACCAAAAATTGTTTTTGTCTCCTTTCAACGCACACTTTAGAAAGAAAAAGAGATGAACTGGAATACTGAAGGAACGTCAAGGTTTTATCTGTCACTCTTGTCAATAATTTATCGGTAAGGAAGATTCCTAGAAAATCGCTTGTAGTCAAGTTTTCAACCATTGCCAGTTCTCCCATAAGAAGTGTCATCCACCTGTGCTTCCTGCTAGATACGACAGTAGTTCACCTGCTGCTATTATGGTCTGACATGGGTCTGACATAATTTGAATGTCAATAAAAGAATTGGCTAGTTTTTACAAAGAACTGTTTTTATATAAGTACCTATGATAAGTACGTATTTTTTACTGTCAGAGGTCGCGTGGGAATAACGTAATATTATGTAAGTTTTTGGTATTTCATGCCATTTTATATTAAAGTACTCGTACATGCTTCGTGAAGTATCATAACTAATATAACAAAAAATTAATCATATGTCGCTGCATTTTAAAACATTGCGGTGGGGCATCTCTCCCATCGTATTGGGAGAGATGCCACATAGAAAGCTGGTAAAGATGCCCTACTAATTCATTTACTAAAAAGTAACTTTTTTTAATAATGCCTACTGAATATAAAATAAAATGTCCCGAAAGTGCTCAGTGGTTTGAAAAATCATTGGCTGCTGCTTTGCAAGTCATTAATACCGACCAAATGGGCATAAAAGCATAATGCATGCTTTTGGAATCCCTGCAATGACTTTGAGACGTAGGGAGGCAAACAACACAGAAAAAGCAAGCATAGGGCCATCCTTAACTTTTGGATATTAGTTAAAAAAATAAAAATTAACCTTAGATATTTAACCAATACGTATATGTATTTTTTTGCGGGACATTTCTCCCATGTTGGAAGGCCATCTCTCCCGCAACTTAGGGAGAGATGGCCAATTTTCTATTTTTTTATTGTTCTCTTACTATTATATATACTTACTTATATTATTACTATCTTAATCCTATTATGAATTATTATTAAAGATAGTTTAGGATTGCATCATTAGTTTCATTTAAAATTAACTACCAATATGTATTATTAGCCCCAAAAGAAAAGTGGGGCATCTCTACCGGACTTACCCTATTTGAAATCAACTGAAATGCACCAAACCTATAGATATTTCATTGGTAGATATTTCTAAAACTTGAATTATATAATAAATACAATACGATAGAAAAAAAACGGCGTCGGTGATGGCTATGAAATGAAGATCGATTTACTATAAATTTAAAAATCGAGCTAAAATCTGTCGAACGAGTTCGGGTAGATTTCGATACAACTGTCACTCTCGTAGATGCTCTTGTTAAACAGACTATAGTTGACTTGTCAACGCTGTTGGATATCATCTAATGAAAAGTTATTTTTCGCTTTTCAGTTTGATCTCTGATCTTTGTAAAACCTCGTTTATTATGTTTATTTAACTATTATTGATTTTACTTATTACATTATTTTTAGAAGGAGTCTTTATTATTCTTAATACGCCCGTCCTTGTAATTTTTATTGTCAATGCCAGACATAAATTCATTTCTTAATCTTCTATCTGTTCTGATTAATAATGCTTCGAAATTATTATCGTGATTATAGACAATTTTAATTTTATTACATTTTGTGTAGAGATAGTACTTATACGCAGTTTTTTCTTTGCAGGATCTCCCGACAAAATCACATAGTACCTGTAGTGATGGATCCTTACTCAGTATGGATGGTTCAGAAATGGAAGAGGTATTTTAAGTATAATATTATCAGCATTATTTTATTAAGTTATTAGGTCTTGTCTTTTTGTTTCTATCGTTTATATTTTTTGTTACAAATGATTTTAGAAGACAGTTACAAAAATCGTCTAAATAATAAAATGTCAATAAAATTATTTTATTTGTGAGGGTTCTGAGCTCATATAAAGTTATTTTAAAATTTGTATAGGCTTTGGACATTATACAGGGTGTTTCAAAAACATGTGCCATCTCTCGTGGGTAGATTTCCCAAGTAAAAATAAGACTTATTTTTTATATCAACATATGTCCAATTTTGCTTTGTTTCGTAGATACAGGATGTTAAAGTTTTTTTTTAATTTATTATAATTTCCTTACGAGCGCCTGTAGCGATTCTAATTATATTTTGAGGGTGAAAATTGATTAGATAAAAGCAATTTTATTAATCTCAATAAAATTAAAAAAAAATCATTATAATAAAATTATTTATTTAATCTAATTTATTATTACTTTTTATTAAAATTCATAACACTGATGTTCAGTGATACCTACAGCAAATTTAAAAAAATTATATTTAGAATAATACAAGAAAGTTAACCCATGTTTATAAAAAAATCATATTTTTTGATGAGGAATCAAAGGAGTGCTTAGTTAATACTGACCAGTAAATGACATTATTTTTTTTAATGTTGCTGGTAGACTTGGTTTAGGGTAGATTAATAAAATTGCGATTATAAAGGAGATCGAAATCGACAAAATATCAAATGAGAAATTTTAATCGGCATTAAACGACCTACACAATTGTTAACAAAAGAAAAAAATCAGTGGCGCACAGTTTCTTTTTCGAAAAATATTCCAGTGATATCGCATAATATGCACGTCCATGTTGAATCTGTCGACACTTTTTTATCATTAAAATATATGTAACACTTATAATTTTACCCTAAAAATGTCATTCGATTCGCTAAAAGCACTTGGAAGGAAATTATAATCAATCCAAAAAAAAGAAGACCAAACAAAAAAAACAAAATCGCACCCTATATTGATATAAAAAATAAATCTTATTTTTACGTGAGGAATCTCACAACGAGAGGGTTCTCCATTACGATTCTTCTATTAAAATAGTACGTACATACAGGGTGGCGCCTGTCATACGCCGCGGAAGCTCCAAGGAGAACGGTAGTTTATATCGAAATGAAATTTTAGCAGCTTATGTAGGTTAACTGAAAGCATTTTATAAAAATATATAGAATTATACAGGGTGTCCCCAAAAAAAGTTACACATCAAAGTTGTGTTTTTCTAATGGAACACCCTATATATTAATTGATTTTCGGTTTCTAGGAAAAAAATAAAGGTGAGTTTTATTAAAGAAGCATATACCTAAGATCTAAGGATTTTGACATATTTCACATTTTGTGAAAATGAAGAGTAAATTTTAACTTTCGATAACAGCTACCTAAATTTTAGTTGACCTTGAATAGCCTGATATTTAATTAGAGTAATGTAGTTAGTGAGATGTTATAGAGTGTATGTTAAACCAAATTAATATGGAATATTAGTCACTTTTAAAAGCAAGTTACTCCTTTATTTTAAATGGAACACCTAGTATATTTTTCCGGTGTTCAATGGGGAATTTATATATCTTTAAAATATTATTAAGGTTGTCTACCCCTCAGACAAAGATTTTCCCAGATATTTTAATTTTTATGATTTTGCGTCAGTAAATCTTTATTATTTGAAAAAATCTAGGTGGCTGTGTGATATACCTTTTGTTAATTTAACAAAAATTAAAGATTTTAGAGTAAAATACTCAAGGGTACTAAAAAGATACACGTTTAAAACATATTTTAATTATTACAGAATTAAAACTAGATATAAACCTATTAATTATGTGACAAAAATTAACTAGATGAAATCAAATGCTCAAAATGTTTCCTTTCCTGTTAACTGCATAAAATGATTGTCTTTTCAAAAGTACAATAGTTAATTTAACTACATATTCGGCTATACCGGGTAAATTCCAATTTAGGTAGCTTTTATTGCAATTTAAAAATTGTTCTTTATTTCTAGAAAATGTTAAATATGTCAAAAACCTTACATTTTAGTCATATACTTCTCTTATAAAACTCACCTTTATTTTTCTCCCAAAATTCGAAAATCAATTAATATATAGGGTGTTCTGTTACAAAAAAACACAACTTTGATATGTAACTTTTTTTGGGGACACCCTGTAGAACTCTCTATATTTTTAAATAGTGCTCTGAATTAACCTACATATGCTCATAAAATTTCATTTCAATACAAACTCTCGTTCTCCTTAGAGCCTCCGCGGCGTATGAGAGGCGCCACCCTGTATATTTTATAATATCCAGAGTTTCATAAATTAATATACAGGGTGTCTCAGGCTGAGCGTGCATTAGAAGTTTCTAGAGAACTACAATATCTAGTCTCTTTGAACGAAAAAAAACTGCCTATCAAAAATATGTGTATAGCCTAAACGTCAAATTTAGTGATTCCCACAGCCACTGTGCCATTGAGAGAAAACATGTGGCTATCTATTTCAAAAATTAAATTGTTCGAATATCATATAATAGTGGCCGCAGCTGTCATAGAATTGAACGATTAAAAAATTATCATAAATAATTTTTTTCAAATGCCCACTTTTTTTATTTCGCTAGTGAAAAGGATTTTCAATTCGGTACTTTTTGATTATACATGTTCCTTTACCTAAAATAAATCGTTTTTAAGTTATTTAAGATTTAGTTTTAAAGCGTATATTTTTCTTAATTTTAACCATTAGCCTATGACTTTAAACATCAAGTGATGTAAAACAATAGATCTGGCCATGTCATATTGTGACGCTTTGTTCAAAAAGTAGCATCATTTCCGAGACAACTTTGCGCTGTTTTTTTTTCTCGATCATACGGAATACTATTAATATCCACTATTAGATATCACTAAAGAGCGAAAATACGAAATATATTTTTATAAATACTCTTTTTAAACTCTTAAAGCAGGCAGTATTTATAATATAGGAAATTCAAATAATTCGTTTTCTGACAGATAGAAATAAATTGTCTGACCGTTTGACACTTAATGTCAAAGGAAGCTATTATTGACTATTCAAAACTGAATCTTAAATAACTTAAAAACGATTTAATTTGGATATAGTAACATGTATAATCCAAAAGTAACGAATTGAAAAACCTTTTCATTAGTGAAATAAAAAAGTGGGTTTCCATTTGAAAAACATGATTTATGATAATTTTTCAATCGTTCAATTTCATGACAGCTGCGGCCTTTATTATATGATATTCGAACAATTTAATTTTTGAAATAGATAGCCACATGTCTTCTCTTTATGTCACAGTGGCTGTGGTAATCGATAAATTTTGACGTTTAGGCTATACAAATTTTTTTGGACAGGTATTTTTTTTCGTACCCTCCGCCATATTGAAAATATTTTTAATCGATAGATCTCGTTGTAAAACAATGATGTGTAAAAAATCTCCAATCTAGATATTGTGGTTTTCTAGAAATTTTTGCACGCTCAGCCTGGGACACCCTGTATACTTATACTACGGACCATAAATATGATATACCAAGTGTTCTAATGTTATTATATAATATGTTCTTTTCAGGATTCTATTGGTTTGCCGTCTAAAAATTCTTCAAAAGTTTCATTAAATGACAAGAGGACAGACACAGGTACTATTAATATGTCACCGATAAGTTAATTAACGTTTGTGTAAATTATTAGTTTCATTTACAGAATCAGATATAGAATTAGGTCCAAGTCTTCTAACAGCACCGTTAAATCACAGCGCTGCACATCACAGGGTCTCTGTTAGACCAAAGAGAACTTATGGAGCCCCAAGGAGGAAAAAGGTAATAAGGCTAAAGTTGAATATTAGTTAAATAGTAAGTAATTCGGACAGAACGCTTTTCGCACTATGGTATTTTTGCTGCAATAAGTAAATTATGTTCTAAATTTTCCGTATTTTCTAAATAGGAATAAACTGACATTTTTTCGGTATACAGATTTCAACTGCACTACCTGCCACTCCAGAAGTTAACGAAGAGTCTTCCACAAGAAGTATTTCACCAGAAAGTGTTACCACAGGTGAGAGATACTGGCTTTGCTGAATAACTGTGCTTAATTTTCGAACCAATTGTGTGTATTTGTGTATCTAGCTTAAAATGATGATCAAAATCACTTTCAGACTGTACAGAAAACAGGTTTAGTTCTAATAAGATTTTTTTTCTGTACACTTCTGTTAAAATCAGGTGATTTTGTATAATAATTGCTTTAAAGTATTTTCCAAATTACCTGTCCAATTATTGACCTAATCAAGAAACATCTGCTAGCTAGGATATTATATTTTAAACATTCTGTTTAAAAAGAAGTGTATTTATAATTGTCTATTAATTGGAATCCTGTAATCCTGTCAGACAATAAAGTTATTATTTATTTATTTATATCTACGATGGTCGCAGTCGCCGTTGCTGGCCTGGCCAGAGTCGATTCAGAGCGCGGGGTTACATTTATTTCTGTGTATATTGAATTTACTTTTTAAATGTTATTATCGTCTTTTGTCTCTGTCTAGACTTCCCTGTAAATGTATTTTTTGTTGTTGAAATCAATGATTCCAACTACTTCACTATAAATCCTAATGTAAATAAAATTACATTTAAAAGAAACAAACGGTTTGTTAATATCATATCAACTTAATTTTAAATTCTGGCTTAATTACTATTGCCTTTGGGTATAAGCTAATTTATAAATTCGACATTGTATAACTGTGCGCCATCTACAGGCTGTACAAAACGCTTTGCAGTAAATGGGATAAATTTGTTATTAAACTGTTGCAATAAAATTATTCGGAATTTATTCAGAATGTCCAACAACTTTGACAACAATTTTGACATGTCATGCGACAACTGCCATGGTGACAAATTACAAAAATCCTCTTTATATGTTAGTCAGTGAGAAAATATATCGTGAAAAAAATCAAAGAGAAAAGTTGTTCAAGAATGAATTTTACATCTATGTAGCGAAATGTTTCAGAAAAAGAAATATTAGTTATTCGTCTATTTTTCCAAGAAAAAATAATGGTTTTTTTTTGGTAGAGGGTCAAAAACAAAAAACGAATCTAATAAAAATGCAGTGTTTTTATTTAAGTGCGCCCGCGATAAATTGTGTAATTCTAAAAATGTCAATGTTCAATCTATTTGTCGCAATACCGGGTGCGTCTCAAAAGTGGCTCACCACTATAATTTTTTTATTCTTTCAAATAAAAAACGAGATTTGGTATATTAGTATATGACATAAGATTGATTGACGTATTCAAATATTTTTGGCCACTTCCTGTTTCACCGGAAATGACTACAACTTTTGATTTTTTAAATGGTACCCTCGGTATTTTTTTACTTTATTCGATAGAAAATGACATTCTGAATAGAATGACATATCATATGTCAACTTTTGACATTCTCGCTTAATAAAAAATCGTATTTTAAAATTCAATCTAGAGTGCCATGGCTATGTTAAAAACACTAATTCTTGATCAAGGAGCCTTGGAAAAATAGATTTGATCGTCTAATGTTTTTAGTGTCTTGTCCTGGCCAGTTAGAAAATGCTCAAATCGTATTTTTAATCATATCTCAATTTTTTCAAATGGAATGAGGGTGGCTCATTAGCATATTTGGAAATAGAATTTTTTACGAATAATTTGATACCACATATAGGTACTTGGTATTTGGTACTTCAAGTCAAATTTTCGTTACGAACCGCAAGTTATAATTTCAAATAAACCATATGGGAAAATGTCAAAAGTTGACATATGATATATCATTCTATTCAGAGTGTTATTTTCTATCGAATAAAGTAAAAAAAATACCGAGGGTGCCATTTAAAAATCAAAAGTTTCCATTTTTTTCCATTTCATTTCTGGTGAAACAGGAAGTGACCGAAAACAATTGAATACGTCAATCAATCCTAATTTATGTCATATACCTACTAACATACCAAATCTAGTTTTTTAACTGAAAAAATAAAGAAAGTTACAGGGGTGAACCACTTTTGAGACGCACCCGGTATAGCTTATAGCAAACAAAAATGTTTAACTAACACATTCTAAATAACTTTATAGAGTTTGTATAGGATGTGACTCTATTTTAGACCTAACCTAATTTTTCTTTTCTATAAGCCCTTGCAACAAGTTTAGTATTTTATACAGGGTTGTTCACCACATACGACACGGAGTATTGTAGCCAAACGATTAGATTTTTACAAATTGTAAGTTTTGAGTTCGTTGAAGGACTATTAGAGCTACAATTTAAAAATATTTTTGCAAGATACAGAGTGTCCCAAATAAATAAAAAATATCAAAGTTGTATTTTTTTAAATGAAACACCCTGTATATTATTGCATTTTAGTTTCTACGATTAAAATAAAGGTAAATTTGATTAAGGTTTATTACACTTAAACCTTACCGGTTTTGAAATATTTTCAATTTTGTGAAATTGCAGTATAAATTTTAAGGCTTCATTTTCGAGGGTATCAAAGTTTTTAATACTAAATATTTACTGAAGTTTATTTATTGATCAGTTATTGTGTTGCATTAATAAAAATTATACTACCTTATACAGAGTGTCTAAAAATTTATTTTAAATAATTACTAGCTTTAAACGGCAATAACTTGTTTAATCTAAATGGAACACCCTGTATATTTTATGAGAATCAGATGCACAATTTAATTGTCTATCAAATTGTATTTTACCACTTTTTACCTATTCCTTCAAGTTTTCATAGAAAATACATTTTCTTATAATTTAGACCTCATTTATCAATATACCCATGGAATATTGACATTTTGGATTGTTTTTAAAACAACAAATGTACAAAATGTACAGTCTAGTAATATTACCGTTTTTAGTAAAACGATAATATTACTAGCCCATTTGTATGCAAAAAGAAAACTATTTAAATCTTTATAAAAGAGTATTTTATTAATTAAATATACCACTTTTACCTTTAATTAAATATACCACCAGTATTTCCGTCCAAATACTAATTAATTACATACTTAATTGTGTTCGTTAATAAATTATTCTAAATAAATGTGGATTTGAATCAGAAATCAATATAATAATAAGTTATGAAAAGTTATGAAAGTCTCAGTTGTTATAAATAAGCATTTGTCAAAAAAACATTTTTAAGGTGTTAGTTTTTTTACCACACTGTCTAATACACACACATAATTCATTTTTTTAGTATTTGAAGCAATTATTATTAATCAACGCAAACAGTCAATTAATGTAGTTTGAATACTAGAATCATATTAATTGGTCCTCTTTAACAAATATTTAAATAGTTTTTTTTTATTTTTTAAAGAAATAAACAAACTATATCGACAATATTAGTATCTGAACTCTTTAAAAATTTGGTACATCTTTAAAAATAATTTAAAATGTCAGTATTCCATGGGTATATTGATAAATGAGTTCTAAATTACAAGAAAATGCATTTTCTACGGAAACTTAAGAGATAGGTAAAAATGGTATAATACAATTTGATAGTCAATTAAATTGTGCATCTGATTCTTATAAAATATACAGGATGTTCCATTTAAATTAAACAAGTTATTGCCGTTTAAAGCTAATAATTATTTAAAATAAATATTTAGACACTCTGTATAAGGGAGTAAGTTTTTTATTATTGCAACACAATAACTGATCAATAAATAAACTTCAGTAAATATTTAGTATTAAAAACTTTGATACCTTGGGAGAAATGAAGCCTTAAAATTTATACTGCAATTTCACAAAATTGAAAATATTTCAAAAACGGTAAGGTTTAAGTGCAATAAACCTTAATTAAATTTACCTTTATTTTAATCGTAAAAATTAAAAATGTAATATACAGGATATTCCATTTAAAAAAATACGACTTTGATATTTTTTATTTATTTGGGACACTCTGTATCCTGTAAAAATATTTTTAAATTGTAGCTCTAATAGTCCTTCAACGAACCAAACCTTACAATTTGCAAAAATCTAATCGTTTAGCTACAATATTCCGTGTCGTATATGGTGAACAACCCTGTATATTGGTATTTTTATTTATTTTTTTCGATTATTTACGGGATAGTAAAGAAATAATATATTAGAAATTATTCTTGTTGGGTTTTAAAAATATTTATAAAATTAATTGTGCTTTGAACGCAATCGGCGAAATAATTTTCAATACAGAATCGCTGTTTTGAGAACCGTTTATTTATTAAATATCAAAAAACGTATAGTTCGACGACTTCAAAATACTGTTAATCGGTAAGTAACAAACTAAGTTGAAACAATATGATAGGCCCATAAAGGTACATTGTGACTTTAAAATTTATAAAAATATGTAGAACTTCTTGGATATCTTCTAGGAAACTTTTTTCGGAGTAAGTCCGGTTTATTGTACCTTAATAGGCGATTTATTATCAAAATTTAGTACAAGTACGTAACAGGACTTGTATTTTTAATATTTTTTTAAGAAAGGCTGAAAAATATGTATTATTTATTTATTAAGATCTCTGAAACTATCGAAATATATTTAGGATTATGTAAAGTGATCTGAAAGGAAGCCAAAAACGCAATAATATACAGGGTGTTTTTATTTTAAAAAAATCATCCCGATACACAAACATTTTGAGCCACCCTATAAAAGTTAAAATATATTCCTGAAATACATCCTCGTACATACTTTAGGTTTGCACTTAAACAAAATTCTCAAGTTTTTTATTCTATGATATGAGCTATATCTATTTTACATATGCCCTGTACGCATAAAGATTTTTGAAATTTTCTGCCATGAAAATTGTCGCATGCCATATCAAATTTCTCAAAAACTTTTTTTCGATAACTCAACATTACAAACTTTTTGACTTAAAAAAAATCTAAAAAGTAACAAAACAGTATCATTTTCCTATCTTATACGCCTTTGTCTCATACATTTGTGCTAACGTCTTACTAATCCATCCCTTTGTTTCCCGCTTTTAATCTGTTTCCAGAGCCAATAACCGAGCTTTACAGCAGCGCCACCTCGCGGACGAGCGCCCTAACCGCGCACATCTACGAAACCAAACTAAAATGTAACTCTTTGCCAGCGGGCGCCACGCCGCCCACTCGCGACTCGTTCCGGCTAAGTCGCAGCAAGTCCAACGCCGGAAAGAGCCAGGACGATGCCGTCCTCAACGGGGAAGAGAGAGAGGAGAAGCTGAGTTTGTTCGAGAGGCTGTTCCCGAGAAGAAGCGCCAAGAAAAAGAAGAAAGAGGAGAAAGGTGGGGCTAAAAGTGGAGATGTCAACGTGGAGGTCGATGGAAGGAGTTCTTTCAGAAGAGTCGTCGAAGAAAAAGTAAGTGAAGATTCTTTCACGAATCACATGTATTATCTAATCAGTAGATCTGAAACACCGGAAGGAATTCGGACAACACAAATATGATATCTTCTTCTTACAGTGCCATACTCTACTTAAATCAGATTAAATTCTTCGAGATGGCTGTCGGCCTGATCCACTGCGTCCTTTTCAGATCTGTTGTGGTCCTTTTCTGATCCTTAGATTACATTCTTCACTCTCAACTTGGATATTCTCCATATAGATATCTGTCAATGGTCTGGATAGTAATATCTTTCCCAAGTAGCATTTTTGGACACATTTTAGGTAATATTTCTAATAATCGTGTCTGTTTCTTAACACAAAATGAAAACGATATGCCACAAATAGGAAACATTTTCGAAACCTATATATATTTTATATGGCTTTATTACATGTGTTTCCAATGTGGTGGCACTGGCCGTTTCCTGAAATGTTTCGATGCGGAATCAAAATTTTTAGAGGAAATGTTTCGAAACATTTTCTGTAATTTGTGTCCAAGATGTTCCCGTTTTCAACAGCCACTGTTTCTAAATGTGAAGAAACAAAATATCAAACTAAAATAGTCTATGTCTGTGTGTGGATTTCAAAATGAAAACAACCATCAACAATGTCGACCTCCGCATTAATTTTTTGTCTTAAAATCTTTGTTTTTAGGTTTTCTCGCACAAAAAATGTCTGGCAAAAGCAATTTCATAGTTTAATTTAATAATGTACTTTCATATTTTTAATACTCCTATATATATCAATATTTGTTGTTACAAAATATTTTTGTTTGAAATATAGTTTTCTTTTTATTTCTATATCATGGTTCTGAAAATAAAAATATATAAATCAATGTAAGCAGAACGCGTTCTTATGAGTTTAAAAGCTCAACATCCATTTGTACTCACCATATGTCCTTTCGTCTGCTTTTTTAATTATAGTACTATAAAAACTTTTTAAGCATTTAAGCATTAATGCAAAAACTGCAGAACAAAATCCAAACAATAAAGTAAGGTTATGTTCTCATATTTGACAGAATATCAAATAAATTATGGAAACTTTTCAGGCACAAAACGGGTACGAAATCTGTAAATGTGAGCCACATATTTTTCTTAAAAGGTTCGAAAAATGTATGACTACTACATATCGTAGATGTAGTGTCACATAAAAAATATTTTTGGAAAAAAAAAATATTTTTAAAAATATTTTTTACTGAAATTCAACGGTGTCTAAGTATTTCAGTCATTGGGGATTTTTGCTTGGAAAAAAGTCCGGAAGTTTTGAAACTTTGCAGGTTTATAGGTTTTGGGGTCCCTAACTAAAATCCATAAAATGCACATTTCCCGACTTGCCGCCGGCGCCGCCATCTTGCCAAGATGGCGCCCAGGTTAATATTTTCTAAAAATATCATGCGGTGTTGCCGACTTGCCGGCAACACCGCACAATGATCCCTCATGGTATCGCGGATTCAATCAACCTGATTGGTAGCGTTTCTTGCAAGCTTGTTGCCATGCGCAAAACGTCTCCATATTGGCCAGTTTTAATTGTGTCCATATTAACCATAATTAAATTTATCTCTAACAAATAAATGTTGATGGTTTTCTACATTTTTACCATTATTTCCTAACGTTATAGGTAAACTTTGTTACCTTTTATTTGACGGAAAACAGGTTGACAGTTCTTGTCAAATTTTCAGGTAAATTTAAATATAGTTGCCAAATATTCTCGTATCTTGTGTTCTCTGACGTCAACAATTTAAATACTAATATTTAGTGCAAACCAGAACTTTTTCATATAAGTTTTGGCCTGTTTGTACCCTGTGGTCAACTGAATTGCTGGCCTATCGATTTATTTGCAATTCTAGCATCTAATGAAGTTTGTTTTAACAGGTATATTCGTGTGACCATTCTGAACGTATTTCCACCGTGTTCCCACATATTTACAAGCCGACAAAACCAACGATAAATCACTTTACAGTGCAAATCTTCCCTTAACTTGTAGAATACGTTCAAAACGGTCTCTGTGAAAATTTGCTAATAACATTTCTTATTGTTCCAGCCTGCCAATTTGTTCTCAACTCCAGTAACTGTAAAAGTACATACGACAGAAAGTAAAACAGCGTCTTCCCACGTTCATGTTAGACGTGAAGAAATGAGACCCATCATCGCACCTCGTACCGGCGCTGCGTCAAGACAAAGAGTACAACCTATTGACATCCCTTCTTCGCCAATAAGTACCAGGCAATCCTTAAATTCTATACCGACATCTCCAGTTTCACCCGAACGGTTCCAGTCTGGAACATCCCCGATACAAGCCGAGCTGGAGAACGTACTGAAGCATCGCCAAATGCAGCATTCAGGTTTGAAGGAACCACCAGTTCCGAGAAGCGAGTCTCCAAGTCCGCCCAAACTATGGGAGACGTCCAGTTCTGTAACGTCAAAGAGAGAATACAAACTATACGAATCGAGGTCCAGCCACGTTGATGTAAAGAGGGAGTCTAAAACTGGCACCGAAGATATTCGGAGCAAAGTTAAGATCGCTGGGTTATCTGCTTTGCAACAGCGGGTTTTAAGTTTAAACTCCGAAGAAGAGGCTTCGCACTGTTCACTAACTGATATACCTCAGAAACCTAAAAAACTAATCACTAAGTCGCATAGTTTTAAAAACCAAAAGATTGTAACGGAAAATCGAATTGTAGAAACCAATGAAAAATTCAATGAAGCTAAAACTGTCGTTACCAAATCATCTTCGTTGGATAGTGTGAAGAATTTGGACGAACCTATTTTAAAATCGGAACTGAAAATGACTTTGAAACCAGTTAAAACTTTTATTGAAGACCGAGTTAAAGTCAAGCCTGTTGTAACTGTTGTAGAAGACGATGTTAAAGTAAAGTCAGATAATACAGATGATGTAAATCATATAAAACCCACTATAAAAGAAACACTAATATCTCCGAAACATGAAGAAACAATTTTGGCAAATCAAACCACATCAGATGTTTGTAGGGAAACATCAGAAATAGAAAATAAGTCAAACATTCAAAATATTTCCGCTGATGGAGATAAATCTGAATATACATCTAAAGATAATTCGTATACTTCTAACACTCATTCCTCAAGCATATTTGAAGAACATAGTGTCAAAACAAATGAACAGCCAACTGTTCTGCCTACTCTATTTAACGATGCAATCACTATATCCGGACCTAGTCATACAGCGGTCGTTAATGTAACCAGCCAGTCAGAAGAGACTTTCAAGAAAAGTTCCGTTAAAACTGAAAGCGAAAACTCGGAAAAAGAGGAAACCAAGATAGTTTCTCATCGAGAGAGTCAAGTGTCTGTCACGAAGATTCATTTAAAGCAAGAAACAACAGAAGTTACAAAGACAAACGTCACGGTGTTAAAACCAAACGTCCCCGAGTTTTTGAATAAGCAGTTGAATAAGGTTGAATCTCGGCCTTCCAGTAATATTATTCTTTCAATGAAAACGCCGAAATCACCCGAGGATACCGAGACTGCCAAAGCCAAATCGTCGGTTAGTGTGGACAGTGAAAGGCCACAGCATTTACCGAGAAAATTTAGTAAAGAGGACGTGGAGATTATTGAAAAAACTCCGGAGAGTGTTGCAGAGAAAGATGTCTCGCCACCGAAAACACCAACATTGGTTTCTGTAGCTCCGTTAACACCAAATCAAAATAGGTAAGTTAGATTTAAACAACGTATAGCGCAATTGTGCAACATCGTATTCAACATCGTCATTTCGTTATTTTTAAATCATGAAGGATTAAGAGATGGGTGGTGTTACTATACGTATTTCTGTAAACAGGGCCTATTTTACTATAAGGCCCAGGCCTTAGGCCCGGTGGTCTGGGGGGACCGTTAAAGGTTGTAAAATATTCATAATTTCTTGAATTTTTGAATTTTATTGGAAAACAGAGCCCGAATTTTTGCTTGGGCCTTAGGGCCCGACCAGATGAAAAATAGGTCCTGTCTGTAAACAGGTCCTGGGGACCGGGCGGGGCAAAATTAACCAATTTGTGTCAGGACCGGGTTGCGTATTTCCCTAATATACCATGTAAAGTAATCGCAAAACAATTTCCGATGCATGTGATCAATTTTGAGTAACAAGCGATGGTGACAGCGCTGCCAGATTGTGATGGATTTATGAGATTAATCTTAATGTAAAATTGGGAAACAGCATATTTATTATATCGTTTATTTTTTAAAGATTTTTACATTTGATTTTTAATTTAATAATTAATATTTTAGTAATTAATTTATTTATTAACAGTAGTCATTAACACTCACAGTAGAAATATTTAAATTTAAGGCAGCAGCTACTCGCTACAAATCGAAATAAGTAGATATAACTTTGAAAGTGATATAATGTGCTTACCATAGACTTAAAATAAAATATAGACTACACTATTTACATCTCAACGCGGACAAACAACCTTTTTTGTACACATGTTTACTTCTGGGTACAGTCGACCGAGCCTTCCTCATCCAGCCTATGTTGTCACGTCTTTAATATTATCAATATTTTTTTTCTTGTTATATACATATATTGAGATATTAATACTACAGTTTAATAAAGTAGGTTTTAATATTCCATAGATGTATTAAATAGTTCTTATACTACTAAATTATAAGTCGGATACTATTTAAAAAGGATAAGTTCTTTACAATATGGCAACACCGATTAGAGGCGAGGGAGCCTATTCATTCATTTATTACCTTGTAGTACGTGTCGCACGTGTGCGGTAAAGCTTTGTTGCCGCTATCTCCCCGGCTGTATTACCGCATTTTCTTAGCTTGTAGTCCTTAAGAGTTTATTTTATTGACTTTTTCTGTTCAAAAACTATAAAATATGGTTCGCCAGTGCCAAATTTGCAAGAAATTTGACTTAAATAATCCATTTAAGTCTTGAAACGACTTTTGACCGGTAGGCAACTCTCAATTTACCAATTGGGAGTCAGTGGCGTTGTTGTAGAAAGGCGCTTATTTAGATAATATTTTAGTAAAATATAAAATCTGAATTTTTTCTCTTACATTACATTATTTACTTACTTACATTGTAACAAAATCATAATTATACCCCTGTTAATAATTAATAATGTTTTTATTAAAAATATATTCCGGTTTATTCTAAAATTATCTTCAGAATCTAAAATAACATACAAGAATTTTAAAATGATATTATATTATGAAACAATATTTTTTAATATACCGGGTCGTCTCAAAAGTGGCTACCCCTATAACTTTTTATTTTTTCAGATAAAAAAAACAGATTTGTATGTTAGTAGGTATATGACATAAATTAGGATTTATTGACGTATTCAATTGTTTTTGGCTCTTCCTGTTTCACCGAAATGATTACATCTTTTGATTTTTAAAGGCACCCTCGGTATATTGCTACTTTATTCGATAAAAAATGACACTCTGGATAGAATGACATATCATATGTCAACTTTTGACATCGCTTAAAAATATATCCTATTATATATTTCAATCCAGGGTGCCATGGTGTTGTTAAAAACACTAAGTTTTAATCAAGGAGCCTTGGAAAAATAGTTTTGATCGTCTAATAGGTTTCGTGTCTTGTCTAGGCCGGTTAAAAGGTGTACAAATCGTATTTTTAATCATACATATGTCAATTTTTTCAAATGGAACAAGGGTGACTCATTAGCATATTTGGAAAAAGCATTTTTTTATGAATATATTGATACCACATACTTGGTATTTCGAGTCAAATTGTCGTTATGAACCGCGTGTTACAATTACAATTAAACCATATGCGAAAATGTCAAAAGTTGACATATTATATGTCATTCTATTCAGAGTGTCATTTTCTATCGAATAAAGTAGAAATATACCGAGGGTGCCGTTTAAAAATTAAAAGTTATAGTCATTTCCGGTGAAACAGGAAGTGACCAAAAACAATTGAATGCGTCAATCAATCCTAATTTATGTCATATACTAACATGTTAAATCTTGTGTTTTTATTTGAAAATATAAAAAAATTATGGGGATGAGCCACTTTTGGGACGCACCCGGTATAATAAAGACAGTACCGAGTTAAATAAATGTAATTTTCATTTTATCCACTTCCTATCATCTTCCTTGCTTTAATGGAACAGATTTATGTTTTCTCTAATTTACATAAGACATCACTTAACCAGAAAAAAAATTACAACAATCATATTTTTTTTTCTCTCCCTGTCGCCGATTCTATTATATCTGTGGAATAGATCCTGTTTTGATTAATATTAGGGGTTGTAAATGTTTGACTAAAATTAATAATTTATTATTAATTTCAAAAATTACATAATTTCGATTATAAAATTTCTTCTATAACGTGTATTTTATTATTTTTATCCTTTTTGGACTCTAAGACGTTTTTTCTAAAACTTTTATTTAAAAAACCTGTCCTAAATCTTAATAAAATATAAAAATGTTTAAATACGATATATTTTTAATTTAATTATAGCTTCATTAAAATAAAAAAATTACCCGGCTATGAGACGGAGAGTTCAGGTGTACTTGAGAAACGAAAGACAGTGTTGTGTTTCTCGGCAGAGTCGTCAGGGAACGACCGTTACGACAGAGACAACCTATCTATCGCTCGTGTCGCACTCGTTATAACCTAAAACAATAACACAACAATAACAAGATATTGTCTGACCGCATGTGCCAGCTATTTATGAATGAGATGCTCAGTCTATATTTTATTTTAAGTCTATGGTGCTTACCAATCAAACTTCCTTCTTTGACTGCAGTCAAGGGTAATAAAGGACCTTTATTGTCACGTTCTCATTGAAAATAGTTTATCAAGAAAGCTACAAGCTCTTTTCTTCAATGGGCATGTTCCAAAAAATATAAATTCGCAAATAAATCATTGTACTGCATAGATAAAGTCTTCATTACTTACAATACATAGGAAATTAGGAAAAATTCCATGATATCATTTTAGAAATTAAATTATAATTTCAAACTTGAACATCCGAACGCACCAACGGTTGAGTTGTGGCGTACAATAGCCTTCACCAATCACGTTTCAGATCGTAGAAAGGGAAGTTTCATATCATATGTTGGTATGACTGATTGCCTGGCTCATGCATATCGGGCGCAGCCATTTTGGGTTTTGTTATTATTTTTGTTATTAGTGTTTTCCAACCACTTTACTATCTTCTTTCTTACCAATTCTTGCGTTAAGGTCTCCCATGATTAAGACTTCCTGGCTCGGTTTTATTTCTGTGAGGACTTTTGAGAGTGCAGCATAATAAGAGTCTTTTTCCGCTTGGTTTGAATCATCTGTGGGCGCATAAGTACCTATTATTACGGTTTCCAATCCGAAAATGGTCAAGGTGACAGTTACTATTCTTTCGTTGACAGCGTTGTAATTCTTGTAAAATTTAGATAATTTTTTCGCAATCAGTACCGATACTCCAGCTTGAGCTCGTTTTGCCTTATCTATCCCAGACCAGAAGTGAAGGAAGTTGTCGAGATGTTCACTTCCTCTCCCTTTCTTCTTCGTTTCAGAAAGAACAACTATATCTAGGTTGAACCTAGCCATCTCTGATGTAACTTCCGAGGTCTTGTTGACAAAGCTGTTGACATTCCAAGTTCCTATTCGCATAGTCCGTTTCGTAGCCAGTTGTCGTGTAAAGAATATCTGTCCGAATTCCGAGGCGTGTTTAGGGTTCTTTGAGCAATTAAGTTTTTTTCCGAGTAACAGGTCGCTAGCCCGTTGCCTCAACCCCCAACCTGGAGGACCAGGGGCCTTTCTGTAGGGATGCCCATCCTTAGCCGAGAGAACCGGTTTTGAGGCGCCGGAATCTCGCCTATTTATATTTTAATTTTAGGCGGCATGTAAACATGATGTCATACATAACAAATAAAATCCAGAAAGGTACCACGCTATGATTTATGTAGAATGAAGGAAGATAACAATGGATAACATCTTACTTTCTAGCAACTTTTATTGCCATTCTTGTCTTCTCATAATATTTATATTTTATGTTCTTGTAGCGGGTTAAATGTAAATTGACTGCCCTGATATTCAGTAAGTCTTATCACCATCAAAATGTAAATTATTACAATATTGTAATTAAAACACTTTATATTTACATTCATAGCTTAAGAGAAGTTTTCTGAAAAAAAAAACAGCATTTACGATTTTCCATCTTTTTTCGGCGCGTACAAAAACATTTTATTATAGTTACTGGTAAATGTTATTCAACCATAGAACAATTAATTTTTTAGCATTATTGGAAATAGTTTAAATGCAAATTTAATTTAAAATCAAAAATGAACAATTGTAAACAATGTCATTTCGACATTGAATAAACAGCAATGCTGCCAACATCATAAAATTAACCAAGTTTATTTCGAGACGAAAACCAGCCAATTATATTGGCGAGGGCTACATACGTCATCGCAGCGCGCTAAGTGTGAAATTCAAAATTTTACCCCATTTTTTGGCATAACATTTTAAGTTTTATATAAGAAAAGGCTAAGTAGCAAGCACTAATTAGGTTGAAATCTGCATAATTACGTGGAAATTGAAAAACATGAAACATGCCCATTGTTTAAATGCTTTGGCATATTTTCAATACACAATTTCAAGAAATACAATACAAAAACTCGAAGATTTAGTTCTTAAAAGAACTGTTTGTGCTTAAAATTACAATTTAAAA